GGCCTATCACTTCTCCTTAAATTTCAAATTATTTCTCTGGGGCCTAAGCTTGTAACCCTTAGTCAAGTAGGCCCTAATACTAATTCTCCTTTAAAATGTAAGTTCACTGGAGGGATTACTTACTAACATCTTCAAAACTCAAATTACCTTCTTTTTTTTTTTTTCAAATTAAGTTCACCCAAAATTTTAAGATGCTTAGAAAATTCTGGGTATCACATGGTAGAAAATCAAAATATCAACAGCAAGACAATATAAATAACTTTTAATTTAATGAAGGTTGAATATGTTGGGCAAAAACCTACTTTGGGCTCTTTACCTTACTAGGTTTGTAGGTTTTAGCCCCCTACCTTATACTATAATACTTTTAGCCCCTCACTTATTAGAATTAAAGAAAATATCCCCTTACTTTATAATATTTCGTTAGTTATATTAATTGACTGTTAACTCTGTTAGTTGAAAGTAGGTTTTTGTCAGTTAACAGTCAACTATCAGTCAGCTAACAGTCAGTTAACAGTTAACTAATAGAGTTAACAGTCAGTTAACAGTTAACTAATAGAGTTAACAGTCAGTTAACAAAATAGTTTTGTTAACTGACTATTAATTCTATTAGCTGAAAGTAGGTTTTTATTAGCTAACAGTTAGTTAATAAAGTTAATAGTCAGTTAACAGAACTAATAAAATGTTATAAGTGAAGGTTATTTTTTTTTAATTCTAATAGGTAAGGGACTAAACGTGTTATAATATAAGATGATTGACTAAAACCTATAAATCTAGTAAGGTGAGGGACTAACACTTATAAATCTAAGTAAGGTAAATGATTAAAAATATTCTTTTGCAGAATATGTTGCATCAATGTAGTGGTCCATTGATTATAATATCATTCCAAGGCACTCAAATATCAATGTCAATCCCATTTTGACAAATTTCTTATTCCATTCGGTGCTTATCAAAAGAAATTGGGTAAGATGTGTTTGATAACTTATATCTATAGTTCTATCCAATGGGGCTTATATAGCCATATGCAAAATAAAAATTATATAAATAAGTTCTGATATAATGATAAATACAACATACAATATCCATTAACATGATGAAACTATAGTATGTTCCACCCAATTGGCCTCTTGAAGCCTCAAACATATGGACTCTAGACTTGATAGTTTGTTGATGCTGTAAAAAATAATAATATCCAACTATTAAAAGTATATACTAAAAATAACATGTGCATGATTATGATTTGTAATATGATGATAAAAAAAAAATATGATTCTTTATAATGAACAAAAGATGTGGGTAATCACTACCAAAAGGAGATAAAAAATTATAAGATGCAAAACTCAGACATCTATACTAGTAATTAGATTAGACTCGCTAAACAAGCAAATCACCAATAAAATGTTGACTTTTCGAATATTCATTTTGGAACCAATTCTAGCAACAGCTCAAGCTACTCTTCATCTTTTCCTGTAAAAACAAATCAAGAGTGATAAACCTGCCATAAAAGGAAATTACTACTAGTTGCAAAATTGTAAATACAAAGTCTTACTTCTGTCAACAATTGCAGAATGACCTGCAATTACCTTTTGTGTAAGCTTTCTTTTGTGACAATTGAATGCTATATTGACTTAAATAGATAACAAATCATGTTGAAGAGTTTAGAAAGGCAGGTAATCATATGTCATTGCCTCTTTGCTTGCTTGTGAAATTCCTAGTTCTAGCTCCTTCATAGCCTTTCTATCTTTCTCCCTTATCTGCATAAATAATGGAAGGGCACTTCTTCATCACATACCCATCATGCAACCATAGTCCAATCCTTATTTTCTCACAAATAACACCCTTTTAGTAGGTCAGACTCTAACATTTATTTGCCAATTATGTCCTATTCTCATTAGATAACTCAAATTCCCAAAAGGTAGGTTTATTATCCTTACTTCCATTTCCAATTGAGGAGGTAACAGAATTTATGTTAGTAGATCAAATTAGTAAGGAACCAATAGATTTTTTAGAGTTTGTGATAGATAGAAAATGCTATAGAGACGATAATTTAGAGAACTCATAATGGACTTGTTGATTGTAGAAGACTCTCATTAAGAATACTAAGAACATCATCATCAACTATGTTGCCTACCTTCTCTTGCACATCATCTATCTTATCATTCTTCGCAACACTGTCAAATTTCAAAGTCTTGTAACTGGGTGGACACCTAAGTAACTTGTTTTAATAAAGCTCAATGAGAAAAAACTAAAATTAGTTTAATTCATACTTAAAAAATAAGGTACTTCTATCTTTTTTAATAGAGATTATTACAACAATATAATT